AGCTCACCTTGTAGCCCAGGCTGGTCTCAAACTCACAACGACCTTCCTGCCTCACCCTCCTGAGTGCTGGGATCACAGGCTTGCACCACCATGTGTGGCAGGAGTTCTTTTTTTTCAGTGTGTAGCCTGATTCTCTTCTCTTTCCACTCCCCCTAATATGATTCATGAATCAGGGCAGTTTTTTCTGTGCTACTTGAAGCAGCTGAGGTTTGTTTGGCTTGCCAAGACTTTTGGCTATTTTCCCTATATTTTTGTCAGTAGTTCAGTGTTGATTTCTATTTTAAGAAAAAAAGATCTGGATTTATGAATTGTACGGAATGAGTCCCGACCTGGTGGTTTCATTTAAAACTGCAGCTTTTGCTCCCAGCAGCCAGTCTTGTCATGCTTCAAACCTTGTGTCACTTTGGATTTCTTTCATGGAATGTATTCCTTTCTAATATTTATGATTGAACTAATCATCTTATTTGTTTCTTCCTTTTCTGTCTACCCACCAAAAGCATGCAAATTCCAGGAGCTCAAAGTTCTGTGCTATTTTCTGAATGATATGTTCCAAACAAGGAGAGTAACACTGAATATGTTTGTTAAATCAATGAATGAATTTTCTGTGATTGGGGAAAAGGAAACAGCAGGTGTAATTCTTTCACAACTAAATCTGTGCCTCAGAAAAAATTTCTTTTCAGGTTGTTCTTATAATACCTTATTTGAAGAGTATCTTTCATAATGTAGCAATAAATCAACAGAGGGAGTCTTCAAATATACATCACTCTCATCCATTCAGGTTGTAATGCCATGAGATAAATATATTTTCTGATGTCGGTTTTGTGATGGGAGAATTACACAAATTAATGAATTGTATGTTGAACAATAGTTGACGAGCTCATTTTTATAATTTTTATACTTTTAAAATTGTGTCTGCCCTTTCCATTTTTCAAATACTACCTAGTAGGTGACTCTATTAAGATTCCAAAGATAATGTCCAACTTCTGTGAAAAAATTAAAAGCAAGAATTTTGTTCAAAATTTGTCTTGTATAATTTGTGTAGTTTTTTTTTTGTTGTTGATTTTAGACATTCAGGACCAAAACATCAGTTCTCTATAAAGTGCATAGGCCCATTGTCTGGCCTAATGTTTACCCAGTCTTTTAAACTTTTTTATTGTTTTGCAACATTATCTTTCTAGCTATCTCAGGTAGGATTCAAATTTGTGATCCTCCTGCCTCAGCCTCCTTCAAGGCTGGGATTACAGGCATGTACCACTGCACCTGGCTTGCCTTTAGTCTTTAAGGAAAGGTGTGGAGTTCCTTCAGATTATAGTGATCCAGAGAAGTATGTCAAGGGAAAGAGGGTCATCCAAACCAAGGCCATTTCACCTTGACAACAGTAACAACAACACTAACAGCAAAAAACACAATGTTGGCTGTTTTTCTATATTCATCTGTACTAATTATGGATAAAAACTTTATAGGCTAGGAAGAAATACCAGATTTCCTTGTCAAAATTAGATTTATAACCTAAAACAATGATATACTGGTCATTATATTTGATTCTAGCATCTCTATGAATAAAATGATGACCTTGTTGATAAATGATGAACAATTTTTGTCCATTTCTGAGGATGTTATACACTGACATGATATACATCTGGCCCAAATTTTGACCACAATTGTCTATCCTGGGTATCTTTTTCAGCTTTTTTGAAGAATCATTATTTGTAGTTTAATTTTCTTCTAAAAGCCAGTTAACTTCTGTTGGTCCTAACTCAGATGGACACACTATTCCATAGAGTTTTTCTTTTTTAATACAAAAGCCCTTTTGCATGTAGATATCCAATGAGTGTAGGGTATTACCATATATGCTCATGGGAAATGCTGTTGTGTACTCATTTAATATAAGTAATTTTTATCTTAACAAGTCAGTACAGTAGCACTGAGAATGCATAATCTTCCTGTAGAAATTGTGTTGCCTGTTAATAGAATATATCATAATCTTACTGTTGTAGATTGAAAGACATGACAACTGTGCTTATGACCACTTAGAAATTCGAGATGGGACCAGTGAAAGTAGCCCCTTGATCGGGCGTTTTTGTGGTTATGACAAACCTGAAGATATAAGATCCACCTCCAATACCTTGTGGATGAAATTTGTTTCCGATGGAACTGTCAACAAAGCTGGGTTTGCCGCTAACTTTTTTAAAGGTATTTCACAGTGATTTACAAATGTGAGATTTCCTTTCTCAGGCAGGGATAAATGCGGTATTTGGTGTGAATGGGAGGGAAATAGGATTGACGTTGTATTAAAAGTTGAAGTAAACACAGTTGCTGAAATGTTTTGATGAGTTTTGATGGGCCATGTTAGTAAAATCTTAGTTTATAACTTTGTAGCATAGGACTGGAACTTTATTAAGGTGCTCTACTATTTGTGTTTTAAGAAATAGGGAAGATAGCGAAACCTAGAAAGAGATCTAGAGATAAGAAAAAAATATGAAATACATACACATAACCAACAAAGGATTGAAAACTGGGTGGGGCCTTACTAACATGGAGTGCATCAGTTTATTTCCAGGTGCTAGCATTTTTAAATAACCTCTTAAAGTATAAGGTTCCCCCAAATTAGAAATAATTTATAAATCTTTTAGCAGAATATTCTGTTAGTTAAAATATCTTTTTGTAAGGAATTTTTGCTGGAAATTTAATTTTAAAGTACCTATGTTTGAATTTATTCTTCTGTCCGATATTTTGTGTGAATTAGCAAGGTAAAAAAAAAACCGCTATTTTAGTGCAAATGATAACATCAAACATACATTTAGGAATTGCATAGATACATATCTTAAGTGTATCACAGTCAAATAATATTTTCCTTTGGGAAGATAAAACAAAATTTACTCTACACTGATTTTTATAGGAAAAATGAGAAATTTGAGCATCTCAAAATTTAATGAGGGCTACAAAATATTTTCATTACCTTAAGGGGAATATAATGGATTTTCCCCATTCATACTGAATTCATATGAATTGAAAGGCAGGAAACTTGATACTTTAATTGTATGAATTCATTAATATATATACAGACACATTTGAAATTATATGTGTGCTTTATGAATAGCAAAAGGAACATGCTGTCAAACTGTTTTCATGTGATATATGTTTGGCTATCAAAAATGCTTGGCATTCTGTTGGTGTATAATTTCTCAAGAGTAAATTTACTCTTTATCTAATTCATATTATGTTATTTCTGAAAAGTTGAGATTATGGAATGCCATATTCATTTTTAAAGATATTATGTATTTTCATGTTTCCACATACATTAGTAAAAATATTGGATTCTTAGATACCCTGAGTCAAAATGTCTATATAAGAAACAGTGTTGTTTTAAATTTAAAGAGGGGAAGTCAATTCTTGAGTTTTATTTCTTTTTAATTTGTATTCTCCATGATCTATTTCTTTGTTTGTTTGTTTTTGGTTTTTTTCCAGTACCAGGAATAGAATTCAGGACCTTGTGCTTGCCAGGCAGGCACTGTGCTGCTGAGCTAAATTCCCAGCCCCTTTGATCTATTTCTTAATAGTTATTTTTCTTTAAGAGCATTTTTACTTTCAGTACTGGGAAATGAACCCATTCCCTCGTGTATTCTATGTGCTCTACCAGCAAGCTACATTCCCAGCCCTGAAAGCCACTTTTTTTTTTTTTTTTTTTTGGGGTTTTTCTCCGGTACCAGGAACCGAACTCACGACCTTGCGCTTTCCAGGCAGGCGCTTTTGCCGCTGAGCTAAATCCCCAGCCCCCTGAAAGCCACTTTTTGAGATATATCCAACAAGCTGTACCATGAAATGAATAGGTAAAACTATGCTTTTACAGTAAGGATTTTTAAATTTCATTCTGACAGATCTCTAGGTTTTAACAATCTTAAAATCAGAAAAAAATTCCCAGTCTGAGACAAGATGAGTTTCAGCTCACCTTGGACTAGGTCAGCAGTCTTTCTCTTGTTTGTTCTACGGTTTGTAGGTTGCAGCAACGTGAATTCTTGTAGGTTGTCCACCAAGGGCTCACATTTTGTTCTTCCTTCTTCGTTGAAGAAAGAAACCATGTCTGTTTTATTCCAGGCTGTTAACCCTTATATTTTCAATGAGTTGTGCACCTTAATATAGAAAGGCATCACACTCTGGCTGTGCTATAATTATAACTATTTTTATAGAGGAAGATGAGTGCACCAAACCTGACCGTGGAGGCTGTGAGCAGCGTTGTCTAAACACCCTGGGCAGTTACCAATGTGCCTGCGAGCCTGGTTATGAGCTGGGGCCAGACAGGAGGGGCTGCGAAGGTAGGACTGGGCTGGTGTGGCCCCCCTACTCTATTCCATTCCGCCCTCTTTTTCTCCCCCACAATGACCTCAATCTCAATCCTTGACTAGACTCCATTCATAGTCTTCAGAGTCACAACTGTTGTGAAACTTTCCCTGGATTCTTGTTATAAAGTTGATCTTTTTCCTGTCTGATTACCAGGCCACCATGTGTATCCATCCCCCATCCATCCCTTCATCCTTCCTTCCTTCTGTGCATCCTTTGTCATTCTCTATATGCATGTATGTGTGCACCCACCCACCCTCCCATCCATCCATCCATCCATCCATCCATCCATCCATCTCACTATCTATCTACTCATCACTTCTTTATCTTTTGCTTACCATAGTCTATGAGTATGTTGCTCTTATTAAAATGAAAACCCTGAGTCTGCATTATCTTTGGATCTTTAGCATTTAACACAAATGTAAAGCATTTAGAATAAAGCTAAATATGAGTTTTATGAACAAATGTCTGATTAAAAGTATTTTTGTCATGGTTCTCCACATTTCCTCTTTGTATTCTATCATGAGTTTTCTTGTATGGAGTGGTATTGCCTTGGTCTGTAATCTCGTCCTTCAGAATTTAAAGCTGGCCCTTTTCCTATTACAGACTCCATACCTTAAGTTACAGGCCAAAAAAAAAAAAAAAAAATTGGCTTCCCTTCTATTCCTCCTGTATTCCTCCTTTAAAATTCCTGCAAGTTCATCTTCATAGAAATTGTAGTACTTTATGTTTATCTTTATGTGTATGTTAATTTATTTTTGCTTTTTCCTACTGAAATGTAAGTCTCTGGAAAGTGAGCACTTTCCTCCCTACTGTGTGTGCAACAGAAGATCTGAGAAGGAGCAAAGGTAGCAAAAGTATTTGCTTAAGGAACAAATGCCACACCTTTGCTGACCTACTGGAAAAAAATTGCAGTCACCCTATTTCTCCTTAAAACTTTCAAGTTCTCTCTTTGGCTCTCAAAAATCTTCATCTTGGCTATGCAACTACTAGTATTCTCCTGGTATTAGAATTTTTTAAAAGAATTGCTAAGAAAATGTAGTATTTTTATAGTAGACAATCCTAAATTAACTTGACTTTTACTAATTTGTACCTTCTAGGAATAAATATTTTACCTTATAATAATTTATCAAAAAGTGCTAATACAAAAGTAAATTTACAGATAGCATTTTGAATATTTATATAATATAATAATATATAGAAGTAAATTTATACATAAAGAAGCAAAGTATTTTAGGTAACTCAACTTCTCAGTAGGAATTAGTTATGAATAGTGTATAATATATGTTATTTTTATTCAATTTGATTTTAAATGCTATGGTTTCGCTGACTTCAGTGTGAAGAAGAGGAAGGATAAATAGTAGCTTTTAAAAGTATATTATTGACTGGCAAGCGCAAGGTCGTGAGTTC